AAAATTCTGTTTTCACTTTGTCATTATGGGGTACTGAGTGTAGATTAATGAGGAAAAAAAAGAATTTTAACGATTGTAGTATCAGGCTGCAACATAACAAAATTGAAAAAAATGAAGGGGGTCTGAATACTTCCCGAATGCACTGAATATCAGCATCTAACTGGAGACCCCCAAATTATGTAATTTAATTCTTTCAATTTAGGTGCCACTCAACTCCAAAATGGCACTGGGTGGCTCACAACATGGCAAAGCAAATACAGTGCAATATAATTCAAGAAGACAAAAGCAACAAAATTAAATAGGATAATAGCAAAATAAAAGATGGTGAATCTGGCCAGCAGCCCAAAAAACATGTATCAACAAAACTTGCAAAAGGCTCAAACCACTCTAACCCAGTCGGTCCGACAGCCAGGTCTTTAAGGCTGTCCGGAACACTTTCAGGGTGGGAGCCACCCAGATCTCAGGGGAACTTCATTCCAGAGGACAGGAGTTGTGACAGGGAAGACATGACCCTGGGTCCCAAAGGATGACCCTGTTTAATTGAAGGGACCTGAAACATGCCAAAACGTGTCGTATCAGCCAGGCAGACACTGCAAGACACAGAAGGTCCCTCAAACAGCCAACCAGTATGCCGTGTAGGATTTTTCCAGTAGAAGAGAGTATATGTAGCTCAGGGTTGAAGCGCAGAGTCCTTGGTGTTCTCTGAGCTTAGTGGTTTTCTTGCAGATGTTTTGTTACCTGGCTAGGTAACATCTTCAGTGTATTCCTTGTTTTCCAACACAGGACTAAAAGTACTTTTTTTTAAAATTTGCTCTTGTTCATGACCACATAAAGGATAACATACATGATTAAATTACACTCTGTGTCACTTATTCTCTTTCCCATCATAGGTTTGTGAGAATGTGCATTGTTTCATATAATATTATCCACCTCAGTTAAGCAAGCTAGTGTGGTAGGACCTTATTAGAAATCTGCCATTACAACATAACTGTTGTCCCTTCTTTATCTCAGGTGCGAAGCGCAAATTACGATGCTGACCCATTTGTTCAGGAATTTCAATTTAAAGTGCGTGATGAGATGGCTCACGTGACAGGGCGTGTGCTCCCAGCTCCCATGTTGCAGTATGGAGGGCGGGTAAGAAACACTTCTCTGGATTTATTCTCATATAGTAAGTGGATTTGTAGCTTTGGACTGTCTTGATTAGTGATTTCATTTTCCTAGTCCCTGTCTACGTTTATGCAGCTGTGGCATAGCATCTAGTGCACATTGTGTAAACTGCAAGTATACTGATATTTCTATTTATTTATTTAGAATCGAACAGTAGCAACACCAAGCCATGGTGTATGGGATATGCGTGGGAAACAGTTTCATACAGGTGTGGAAATCAAGATGTGGGCCATTGCTTGCTTTGCAACACAGAGGCAGTGTCGTGAAGAAATACTAAAGTAAGCCTATTGTTCAAGCTATAAGCTGCTTCCCTCTGCCCTTAAATTTGATAGCATGGCTGCAATACTGATTCTCTGCTTCTCGGTTTATCCTTGATCTCTGAAAACATTGTTGCTGTTCAAAGAAACATGATTATGTGCCATCAAGTCTGTGTCAACTCTTAGTGACTACATAGATAGATTTTCTACAGTCTGTTCCTAGCCTGGTCCTTCAGGGCTTCTAACAATGCATCTGTCACCAGTGCGCCCATCACCATCCATAACTGAGTCCATCTACCTTGCTACTGGTCATCCTTTTCTTCCCTAACCCTAACCCTAACCCTTTCCCAGCATTATAGACTTCTCCCAAGAGATAGATCTTTGCATAATGTGTCCGAAGTAGGATAATTTGAGCCTGGTCATTTTTGCCTGGAGTGAAAACTCAGGGTTGATTTGTTCGATGATCCATCATTTTGTTTTCTTGTCTGTCCACAGTATTCTCAGGAGTCTTCCCCAACTCCAGAGTTCAAAAGTGTCAATATTCTTTCTATCCTGCTTCTTCAAAGTCCAACTTTCACTTCCACAGAGTGTGACAGGGAATACCATTGCTTGCGTTATTCTGAAGGTGTTCGTTGGTACTCTGTCAAATGCTAGTCTGTGGTGCATTTCTTGATTGCTTGTTCCTTTACTGTTTCTGAAACATTGTTCCTCAATCCGTTATTGTGGCAAAGGAAAAAGAAAAGGGGTATTTGATTTTGTATTGTATCGACCACACCTTTCTCTCTTGTTTGCAGTTTGTCCTTTAATTATACCTGCTATTCTTATCATTCAAAATTAGATTGGGTGGTTAATGCTAGCCTGTTATTATCTTTGGCTTCAGAACTGGCTGAAACTAATTCTCATTAATGATATAGCCTTCAGCTCTGGTTATCGCCCTCTCTACACTAGCCAAGTGATCCGTTAACCCTCACTTTTAGAGGAAAGGGGAACAAATATGCATGATTTCTAGTTGTACAGTATTCACTGTTTATCCAGTGTTTGTTTGTTGCCAGGGGTTTTACAGACCAGCTGCGCAAGATTTCTAAGGACGCAGGGATGCCAATACAGGGTCAGCCTTGCTTCTGTAAATACGCACAAGGTGCTGACAGTGTGGAGCCCATGTTCCGACACCTTAAAAACACCTATTCGGGACTCCAACTCATCATAGTCATCCTGCCAGGGAAGACACCGGTGTATGGTAAATAAATATCCAAATGCTTTGTATGAACTCTGCTTCTTTTAAATTGCCCTGAGAAAACCTGAGAACAAAAGTAAATAATCTTAGAATAAGTAGATGCTGTAAGAAGCTAGGGTTGAGGGCACAGCAAGTCAGGGTAACAAGGGAAATGCATGTTTTTAAAAGTCTTGTTATGTTATGGGGGCTGGGAAGAGGATAAGTTAGGGGTAAAGTTGTTCAGGAGGTCAGTTAAATAAACTTGATTGGGAGAAGAGCCTCTGTGGGAAAACAGACTTTGCAATAATGTATTTGGGAGAAGATAAAGCTTTCCACTATGTTTTGTTTTTTGCATCATCCATTTCTACTCTCATCATACAGATTGTAAACTTTTTTCAGATATTAGCTGGCAATATTTCCTTAATGTTTTCAGAGAATTTTGTGTGGATAAACCATAAAAACAAGGAAGGAAACAACAACAAAAATAAATACTTGAAAAGTAGTCTTGCTTTTCAGAACTTTGTTTATATGAAGGGGATCTTCTGAAGAAGACTTTGAGACCTTTCAATTTTTATAAGAAGTAGAGGGAGAGCTGGCTGGGATTTTTCTTCTGCTGTTGATCTCCCTCATTAAACTGAACTTCCTTGTTTTTGTTTCATCTTACTCCTCAAAACTTCTAGGAAAGATTAGCCCCAGCAAAATGCACATCAGCAGAGCTTGGCTAGCCTTTCCTCCCCACCATCGGTTTTGTTTCAAGATGGTCTGGACTTTTCCTTTGTTTTTCAGAAAGGGAACATACTGTTCAAATTGGTAAACTGAGAGAACTGATTTGCTTCTTCATTTAGACTGAGCTCCTTCCCAACCTGCTGTCCTCTAGATATGTTGGATTTAAATTCCCATGAGTCAAAGGCTATGCTGACTGAAGATAATAGAAACCACAATCCAGCCCATTTGGAGGGCATAGGCTGGGAAGGGCTAATCTGACTGGGTTGGAGGAGCTGGGCGTAACTTTCAGTAAGCAGATACAGTACTGCAAGGTCAGATTTTAGAACTGTTCCTTAGAACTTTGAAGATTCTTCACATTAATGCTTGTTTCTTAGCGGAGGTGAAACGTGTGGGGGACACACTTCTGGGGATGGCTACTCAGTGTGTTCAAGTCAAGAATGTCATAAAAACGTCTCCTCAGACCCTCTCTAACTTGTGCCTAAAGATTAATGTAAAACTGGGAGGAATCAACAACATCCTTGTACCTCATCAACGGTAAGAAATCTTCCTTAATGTGTTTGTAGAATTTTGTATAAGAGTACATGCATCGAAACTGAAAAACTTTGGGGAATTACCATTTTCTGATGGTGCAAGCTTACAAAACCTACAGGGCTATTTGGTCACTTCGGTAGTCAAAATAATTTATAAATTATAAAATAATTTATAAATTTTATCTTTATAAAAATAATGAAGAGGATTAAAGAAAACCTTAAAAAATTGTGTTGGTTGCCTTGAAGTATTTTTGACAATCAAGTAGGAATCTTTAAAAATATGCTGCTATAAAAACTTGCACACCTGAGAAGAGGCATTTTCAGGCAAGGAATGAACGCTCTAAGATGGTACTTATTTTAGCATGGGGGCATCCCCTAAAACAGGGTTCCTCAACCGTGGCAACTTTAAGACAGGTGGACTTCAACTCCCAGAATTCCCCTTGCTGGCTGGGGAATTCT